TGGCGGGACAGTCCCGATTTTTAACAATCTGTCCCGCGTCCCACAGCGGGACGGTCCTGCCAGAAGCGGGACGTCTGATCACCTTCCTCTCGAACCCCATGAAGGGCTGCCCTCCGGGGGAGCGCTCCGTTGTGATTCGGGCGGTGGCTGCCTTCTCACTGTCATGGTGGGAGCCCGTCCACGGGGAAGTCTCTGAACCTGCGCTGCCGGAATGAGTTCCTTCCCCAGGCCCCTCCCGAGGGAAGGCCCATGAGCAGCCTTCGCCGCGAACGGCCATCTCCGTCCGGGAGAAGAGCTCTCCGGAGGCCGAAGCCAAACACACTCATCTTTGTTGAGAGATGTGACCAGGGGACTTAACCGCATTCCTTGTGGTTTCCGAATGACATGCACATGCTGGGACCCGGGGAGGCAGAGCCGGCTGTTCTCAGTAAGGCCTGACCACACCGGCTCTTGAACGCAGAGGGCGAGCGCCACATGTTACAGATTCTTAGAAGCAAGCAGGTGGCGGTGTGCGCCTGCAGGGGGGGAATGGACTGCCCGCTGACGAAGGCCTCTGGAGACGGGCTGCCCGGCACGCAAAGCCCCACCCCGCCCCCGGCCCCCCAGGCTCCTGGACAAACCCATTTTAACATAATCTACTGTGGATTTTTTCTCTCTCTCTCCCTTGATCTTGTCTAATGGTACTGAAGTCTTTCTGTTGGCGTTTGAATATTTTCCATATAAATAGATAGATAGATAGATAGATAGATAGATAGATAGATTTCAGAGAGGAAGGGAGAGGGAGAGAGAGAGAAACATCAATGATGAGAATCATTGATTGGCCACCTCCTGCATGCCCCCCACTGGGGATGGAGCCCGAAATATGGGCATGTGCCCTTGACCGGGAATCAAATCGTGACCTCCTGCTTCATAGGTCAATGCTCAACCACTGAGCCACAGCGGCCGGGCTCAATCTCTTCTTATATCACAGACCTAGATGAGATTCATTAACAAGCTTCTGTTTAAAAAATGCAAGTGTGGGAGGGCAGCACAGTAAGCTTACCCTGATGCTCCCGTCCATCGGACTGTCCCGAGGGCCAGGGAGATTTGATGTGGGGACAGGAGTGGGGAGAGGCTCAGAGCAGAGGCAATGGGGAGCATGCTCCAGTGCTGGCTGAGTCAGGAGAGGGTGCTGACACGGGCAAAGGCGGCACAGGGATCCTGAGCTCCTGAGACTCAGGAAGGAGACCGGCCAAGTTTTAAAAAATAGCAATTATAATGAACAATTACGACGAGCATCTGTTGAGCATTGGCTGGATGTGTGCTGAGCAGTTCCTGTGAATTGTCTCACTTAATCCTCACAACGGGGTTGCTAGGCAGGCGTCGTCATTATCCACGTGTTACCGGGTGAGTAACATGAGGACTGGAGGATTTATAATTGTCTAGAAAACTGCGGTCAGGTTTTGAAGCCAGAAACTTAGGCTCTTTCTTGACTAGCTGGCTCAAAGGAAGGTGAAGATCTAACTGTGCCCGCTCACCTAGAGCTGATGAGTCATTAGCCAAATGGAACTTAGGTACCTCAGACTCCTCCCGCCTTCGGGAGTCAGAATATCCAACTAAAGACCCCCCCCCAAACGTCCACTTTTATTCCAGGTTTCTATCCCTACGGGTTTGAATCCCCAAGGAAGGCTCCATGCCCTACCAGTCTGTCTGAACCAGCCTGCCTCTCCCCTCCTGCTCTGGGGAAACCCTTGTACTGCTGAACCTCATGGCGAGGTTAAGACCAGACTGAAATGTTGATTAGACTGAGCTCAGTCTACCCGCCCCCACCCCCACACACACAGTCGGTGAGCAGGATTTGTGAGGCCAACACATCCTACAAGAGTCAATCTCAACAACGTTGACATTCCCAGAAGGCGCACCCCGATTTGCAAAAATGTGGCGCATCCAAGGGGCAGCCGCATGAGCAGATTGGTACCTCGAGTGTCCCCGTTTCTGGGTAGGATCTTGGCTTTCCAATGCGTTACCGGAGGGAAGGGCCCATCAAGGCCCTCAATGGTGCCCCCATCTCTACCAAAACAGACAACAGCACAGCAAGCCTCAGCCAGGCCTCATGACGCAAACACAGGATCAGTCTTAAAAATAGAAGCGAATCATTTCTAACTTGGGACAAAGAGGGGCATTTTCTCCTGGTGGAGAGTCTGGACTCATACCCTGTGGAGCCCTCGCCTTAACTCCCACAACCAGAGTGTGCTCAGCCTCATTTAATCATCTTTCTCCTCTTCCTCCTCCTCCTCTACTCACTGAGGAAGATCTCTGCCATCAGAATCCGTGGAAACCTCTAAGGAGCCAGGACTGCTGGATTGGAAACCATAAATTAACTGAATACTTTAAAACAATGAAAACTGGCTCTAACAGTGAACGTTATTTTTTGAACACACACACACACACACACACACACACACACGCACGCACACACGCTGAACCTGTGTGTGCCACTTTGGCCCTGATCACATGCTCAGCTTCGTTTCCAGCCTCTTCCTGGCAGAGATGAGCGGGAGAGTGACAGAGCCCAGCCGCCAGCGGGACCCGAGAGGGGAAATGAAGGTGCGGTTTCGGTGCCTGCCTTCAAAGAGCCAACCCATCTCTTTCCAGCGAGACCAACTTTCTGTAAAGACAGAAAAACCCCAGGCAGCACCAGTCAGATTTCCCCTGCACAATGTTTCATCGATCAGCGCCCCAGTTTCTAGGCCACCATCACCTCATCTTGGCGATCACACCCAGGAGCCGCGCACAGCCAGGGCGAGGGGATGGTTAGTGCGGGACAGCACAGGGTCCCCGGCTCGGGGTCCCAGATGCCACTCTTTTCACCAAAATTCCAGCTTCTTGATGAGCTTGCGTTTACTCATTTCGTTCCTCTGCAGGGCAGAAATGAATAGGCGAGAGGAGAGATGTTTATCCTTGTGGTAAATCGTTCAGTAAATAAAACTGAAAACCTTCCCATCTTGATAGCAGGCTGCATACATTAGCTCTGCTATGTAAAATCAGCTAGCTCACACGTTCGCGGTTCTCAGGTTCCCCTGATTACAGATCTCTTTCCCTGTGTCCCAGCCAAGGACAGAGCCCAGCAACTCCTCTCTGTTGCCTCACTCCCTGCATGAGACACACACTTCCCACCACTGGGCACGGACAGCAGGCTTCCGCTGGGAGAGAGGTGCACATCGAGACACTAAAATCACTCTACGCATTTTCTGGAGAGATTCAGATTCTAGACTTTGACTTAAAGGATCTGTCAACCTTAGGCTACGCTGATGAAATGTGTAAACACAGCTAAATTCTCTTTTTAAGCAAAAGGGTTCCTCCGAGGCCCAGGCTGACTATTCCACAGGACGACTCTGCTTTGGAGTCAGAGGCTGCTGGAGTCTTCGTGAAGCTTCTCTGTGTTCAAACACTTGTGTGGAGGGACACTCGCACCTCACAGGGCAGCAGCCCGTTTCAGAATCCTGACAACCTGGAAAAGCGCCTCTGCACACCGAGCCAAACGGACCTCTGCAGCTTGCGGAATTCGGCCTCAGATCTGCCCTCCGGAGACACACAATAACCCTAATCCCTCTGGTAGACAGCTAATCTCTTCATACGGCTCTCAGAGGCAGTCGTGGTGACTCAGGCTGCAATTCCATCCAGGATATAATAAACACAACACCTTTCCCCTCCTCATCTCCGGGGCCAGAGCCAGCTTACGTGCGAACACAGAACATGCGGGGAGAGAGAACGCTCCCCCGCAGCTGGCCCTGGTGTGAGCCCAGTTCCAGACCCGGGCCCTGGAAGTCAGAGATGGATGAGCGCGGCACAGGGCGGAGCTGACGGGGCGCTCCCTCGGATTCTCCTCTTAGGAGAGCTCAGCCTTCTTCCAGCGAAAGCACACCTCTGGCCTTGAGATGCCCCGATTAGTCTGGCTCAGGGGCTGCAGGCTTCAATCTTTTGTGTCCCTTAGAATCGGGGGGGTTTCCATGGGGCCCCATCCTTGGAGACTTTGCTTTTGTAGAAATGAAACGGGCCTTGTGAACTCTCTTTTCAGAAGCACCCCAGAGCTGGCGTTCTTTCTGAGCTTGGAGAAACATCAATCGAAGCAAAGAAGAAAAGCCAAGCAAGAAAGCAATACCTTGCTTTTTTTTTTTTTTTTTTTTTTTTTTAATTTAACCAGCAAATTTAACCAATGCATTTATTTAAATGTATTTAACCTATACATTTCAGTTATTGGTTCTATTCATTTAAACTAAATCCCATGTTAGAGAATAACAAAAAGAACACTTGAAGTCATTTATAGTTCATTCTATCAAAATTCTTCCAGAAAAAGGGAACTAGCAACCTCATCTGCAGGTTACAGACTGAGGACTGCTGGGAGGTAAACTGAGGGCTGCTGGGAGGCATTCACCACAGGCCTTACGAGGGAGCCAGGCTCCGGCACCGCAGCCTCTTCCCCGGCCTCGGGCTGGCCCACAGATTGGGCCCAGGGCCAGATGGGAAGAACCTGATCGTCCAACACTTAGCTGTTCCACCTCGTGACTGAATTAACACAGAAATCACACCTGGGCAAGCACTCCGCACACATCAGTGCCATTCGGTGGGAATTCTAATAAAGCTAGAGGGATTCCAGGGCACAGGTTACAACAAGTTGGAACATTTCACAGTCTGAGTACCAGGGAGTCTGATTATGCAAAGAAAACCCTCTCTCCTTTGAGAACAAGGGCTTGCCTCTCCTCCCCGGAGCCGCGCTGGCTCCTTTGTAAATAGGAAGGGCGCCTCGTCGCTAAATCACTGGAAGCAAGGCTTGCCCAGGGCAGCCCGGACCGCGCTTCCCTGCGGCCAAGTGAACACACACACCTAATAATTTATCAACTAAGGAACCTGAACAACAAATTAGGAAAAGGGTGATGATAGGAACTCACTCTCCTACTAAGACACTTCATGTAGTTTGTCGCAAAACAAAATTCTTTGGGGATAAGCGTAGCAAAGGCTTCTCATCTCGTTTCCTCTCCAAGGACGATGCGTCTCAGCGGCTCGCTGACCTTCCTCCTCTTCCTGGCGCTCTCGGAACTTTGCTGACTGAGCTCAATGCTCCTTCTCGGGACCTGAGAACCGCCAGAGAGAGGCACATTCAGCAAAGGACCTGCCATCTGCACAAGGACACACCAGGCAGGCAGACCGAGCGCTAATTCTCACGCTGCATAGCGGATCCAAACCTGCCTTCCTGTGGGCCAGTTTGGCCCTGCCCAGAGGCCCCGCTGCCAGCAGCAGTCTGCGGTTCCCAGTCTCTGCAGCCGCGGGCCCTGGAGGCAGCCCGTTCAGGGACAGTTGCTTGGCTCTCTGCAGTGGATGCAGCACATCCACCTCTTGAGGGGAGAGTTGTTAGGGTGTGAGGCCAGCAAGGAGCAGGGAAGGGTCAGGCAGATGCAGGGCACTGATCGCTTTAGAGGCGATAGCATCTCAGTCCCCATTGAGGGGGCGGAAACATACAGCATGTCTCTCCTCTCAGGCTTCAGACTAAGGACCTGGGAAGGACCACAGGCCTTCCTTCTTGAAGAGAAGTGTCACTGATTAAAGGGAAGTTGATTAGTGAGTCATCATAGGTATACAGTTCTCCCTTGGGCTCAGCCTTGGTCAATATTTTAGGACTTATTTTTGCTTAACGGAATGAACAACTAGATGTATTATAACCTGTCAGACCATCCCCGATGCCTGGAGTTCTGGGAAACACACAGAGGATATTTTTTATATTTTCTAGCCACTAGATGGGAGGAAAGGATTTTCCATGTCCTTTGTTCTTTCTTTGGTAGGAAAATAGAATAAGTATTTTGTTGTTGTTGTTAATCCTTATTGGAGAATATTTTTATCCATTGATTTTAGAGAGAGTGGAAGGGAGAGGGCAGAGAGTAAGAGGAGAGAAACATCATGTAAGAGATCCACATCAATTGGTTGCCAAATAGGGCGTGGAACCTGCAACCCAGGTACGTCCCCTTGACTGGAATCAGACCCATGACCCTTTGGTTAGTGGGGCCAATACACTAACCACTGAGCAACACCGGCCAAGGCAAGATAAATATTTTTAAGTAAGACTTGTCAGAATATCTACTAGAGGTTCCAACATCATCCTTTTTTCTTTTGTTATAAATATAGGTTATTAGTATTGCTATATTACTACTACAAAATAGTGGGAATGGCAATAAAACATTTAAGTACCATTTAGAACCAAAGATTGGGTCTACAAACGGTTAACATAATCACTAACTTTTCTTTTAGCTTTAGAAAGCAGTTGAAATTCTGATCTCAGAAACCACAAATTCCCTTTGGCTTAAACTAAGACATTGACAATAAAACTCTGAGAAAATAAATAGAGCTGCTCACCAAATACATGTTTTGCTTAGATATGTAAAGAGTGAAACTGGTCTGCTCTAAAGAGAGGGAAATAGCAACATAAAAACCCAAAACCCAACTTCTTCATTTGTTACAGAGCGGTGTCAGAAAAAGGTCTTGGTGCGATTCGCTTTCCTAGAATTGCTGCTTGGGTGCGCTTTTCACTCCAATGACCTGATCCTCATTTCTATCAAGTCTGGGGACACTGAGGAGAAAAGAAAAGGGACATATAAACCCTTAAATGACAAGCTGGCCTGATGGTTTAATGGTTTTGTTCTCTTCTTCTTTGCTTAAAAGTAAGCCAGCGTTGTATTATACGTTTCAGAACTAGAATATCATTGCGGTGAGTTAACGGCGATATTTTAAATAATGTATCCGATCTCAAGGAGACCAGTGAGGCCTGGGAACTTTGAATCATTGACAGAAAACCAGTGGGTTCAAAAGCGAGTATGTGATCCATCAGGGACTCTTTCTAACACAAATGAACAACCTGCATGAACTACATAAACCACAGATTTGTCCATACAACATTTTCCAAGTGTGTTCCAACCGACTAAGTGTGCATATTGGATGCCAAAGCCAGCAGGCAAGCTGAGGGCCAGCGATCAGGCAGGCTAGACAGACTATCTGGGGGATTTAACATCGGTGATCATCCAATGATTTATAATGCATGTCATATTATACTTTAAACAGAGAGCTTTCCAAGTGTTTCTTGTATACAGACTAACCAGAGGCCTCTATGGCCCACTTACCGGTAGAACCTCAGAAGTAGAGTAGCTACACATATATCTGAAAAAAGCCTTAGAAATATGCTTTCTGATGTAGGATACTTCCCTGCTAATATAGTCTCCATTTGGGAAGTCAAGGAGCAGGTTTTGCCTTAAGCACAGCTGGCTGGTTAGCTGACTTGGTAGCAGTCTTTGAAAAGCACTGGAAAGCTGTCTATTCTTTTAAATGAGCCCATTTATTTCTTTATTCGCTTGCTTTAAAAACTGGTTTGAATGTTTATTACTGTTTATCCTGGAGGTTAATAAGACCATATTAGTCATCTTTTTATTCCCAGGTTCCTGGCATCTGGTAGGCGCTCTTAAATTATTGGCTGAATTAATTAATGCATTTTGAAATTGATTGGAAGCCAGGCATTGTGCTGGGCATTGGTATCATATCACTAGTGATAGAAAGATGAATAAGACACAGTCGTTATCAAGAACTGACTCTTATAAGGAAGAAGCATAAAGCACATGATCACAGTCTAATGCAGTACAATATAATTCAATGGCCATAACAGACATTCATTCATCCAGCAATTATTTAGTGAGTGCCAGTTCTGTGCATGGCACTGTTTTAGGTGGTTGGAGCACATCAGTGGCAAAAGAGATAAGAGTCCCTGCCCTGTTGATTTTATAATCTGTCCATTTTGGGCTTGATAATTTCCAATGGCCTCTCGCTGCTTGTAGGATAAAATCCAGAGTCAGTACCTGTGCTTTCATATCATCAGACTCTTTACACGTCTAGAGAGGAAGAGGGTCGCAGATTGCCTGTAAGACCCTGAGGATGCCCTATCGGGTTTGGCTCAGTGGACAAAGGATTAGCCTTCAGGCTGAAGGGTCCCAGATTCTATTCCGGTCAAGGGCTCGATCCCCAGTAGGGGGTGTGCAGGAGGCAGCTGATCAATAATTTTCATCATTGATGTTCTGTATCTCTCCCCCTCTCCCTTCTTCTCTGAAATCAATAACAATACATTGGGGGTATATGGGGGGTGGGGTAGAGAAAAGAAAAGACACTGATGAAAGGTATGTATTCTCTTCTCAGAAAAATGCTCAGAGAGAGAGAGAGAGAGAGAAACAGAGAGAAAGAGGGGAATGAAGGAAGGAATTGTTATACATTTCACGGTAGCAGGCCATTTGAGGGGCTCCAAGACCTGAATCCCCCCCAATTAGAGTCTTACCCCTCCACCCCACAGAGCCTGGCTGTGCCCATCAGTCCCAGCCTCAGCTCTTGCACTCTGCCCCTCGCCCTCTGACCTCTCAGTGTCTCACGTCTTGCTCCTTCCTGATTTCAGATTTCTGCACATGAAGTTCCTTCTGCCTCAAATGCACTTTTTCTGCCACCTGCCCGCTCTTTGCCTAATTCACTCCTTAGTCATTCTTCAGATTGCAGATGAAAAATTACTTCCTCAAAGAAATTTTTCCTAAACCCATGCTCTCTTTTTTTTAATACTCACCCGAGGATATGTTTCATTGATTTTTTAAAAATATTTATTTTATTGATTTTTTACAGAGAGGAAGGGAGAGAGAGAGCTAGAAACATCGACCAGCTGCCTCTTGCACACCCCCTACTGGGGATGTGCCCACAACCAATGTACATGCCCTTGACCGGAATTGAACCTGGGACCTTTCAGTCCGCAGACCGATGCTCTACCACTGAGCCAAACTGGTTCCGGCTGTTTCATTGATTTTTAAAGAGAGGAAAAGAGAAGGAAGATCCCCAGTCGTCCCCTGTACATGCTCCAACTGGGGGGTCAAACCCACAACTGAGGTATGTGCCCTGATCAGGAATCAAATCTACAACCTTTCCGTGTACGGGATGACACTCCAACCCACTGACCATACCAGCCTAGGCCCGATCATATGCACATAGTAGGGGCTCAATATATATTTTTCAATGAATGAATAACTGTTCCAAGAGCACCTGCCAGCAGTGCAGAAAGGTATCGGAGGCATCAAGCGGATGCAGTGATGAGTCACGCCAGTGTAGCATCAGGTGGTAACTCGGGTGGCAGTGCAGACAAAGTCAGCAGTGAGAAGTATTGAGAAGGTTGGCTCAGAAGACTGGCCAATTGCATATGATGGTGAAGGAGAGGCAGGTATGTCAAAAATGACTCCAGTTTCTGGTTGAGCTAACTTCACAGATGGGGGATCTGTTCCCTCGGGTAGAAAACCATGGGCGCTCTGAACCTATTGGGTTTGGAATACCGTGAAGCCCAGTGGCCTGAGAAGAGGCAGCTGCGTGTGGAAGTGAGCGCTCGGGAGAGAGGTCGGGGCTGGAGATGTCGATCTGAGCGTCATCAGGATGTGGAGCTCATTAACGCCATGGGTGTGGAGGACTCGCTTATTGGAGATGAGAGCGTGAGAAGGGAAAGGGGCCAGGACATAGCCCAAGGAGCGCCAACAGAGAGATTAGGTGGAAGACGAGCCAACAAAGAAAGATAAACGGCCAGCAGGTTGTCACACAGGAAAGCCAAGGGAAGAGAGATTGTGGGCTCAATCCCCAGTGCGGGATGTGCAGGAGGCAGCCAATCAAGGATTCCCTCTCCTCACTGATGTTTCTCTCTCTCGCTCCCTCTCCCTTCCTCTCTGAAATCAATAAAAATATATTTTTAAAAATTTGCTCTTCTTTTTACAAACATTTGAATGCTTATAACAGTGTAAAGGCAGGGATGGGGTTTGTTTCCTTTTACAGATGTGGAAACTGAGGCCCAGGTCACACATTTAGTAAACGGAAGTCTTGAACCCACACCTCCCGATTTCAAATTCAGTGCTCCTCATAACTTACCTCTTCAACCCAGATGGGAAGACAGAGGTAGAAAACTAAGTGAGGCCATCAGAACTCTATGTAGGGTTCACAGGTTTCTATTTGGGGTTGACCTTTTTTGGACATAATCTACTGGGACCTCATGCTAAACACAGCCAAAGCCAAGTTCTTTTTTTCCCCCTTT